TTCGGAGAGGAGTGAACCGTGTTATTAATCGTTGTTCAAGAAGTCAAAGGTGCATTCATTGTGTTCAAACACCAGATTTTCCTCGCCGGAAAACAAATTGGCACAACCGGTGGGACTATGTGTGTTTGATTTGATGACTCCACGACTTAGAGAACAGGAAGGTGATATTTCACTAGGAGTTGTGAAGGAGTTGGCGGCCAAGTTCAAATTTGGCCAAGCATCAGTAAGTGTTGTCGGAAACAATGGCATGATTGAGATCTTGCCACCGGCGGCACCTTGTGTCTATGTAACCACCACTGCCATGTCACTCCGCTCATTAGTGGATGATAACTGCAAGATGGTGGTGGAGAACCGTCAAGTGATGGTGGAGATCCGTCGATTGATGGGAGAGAGTTTGAATGGTCTTGTTAGAAGTTCACAACAGACAAGTCTAAAACTTGCTTCTTTTAGTTCTATGTTAGATAGACGTTTGGATGAATTGCTTGAAGCAACTACAGAAAATACAAATTGCTTGGATAAGCTTAAAAAATATTTTATAGAACCAGTGGTGCGAGACATTTCTTTACCAAAAAATGGTATAGATCCACCGCCAAATATTGCTACTGAGTATGCAAGTATCCTGTTCTCCGATGGCCGGACTACCCAGCCACGGTCAGAGAACTTACCGCCTCCGGCAATGAGTCAACCACCTCTTCAACAAGGCGGTTATGACAAGAATATTACTAACGCATTCACCACCCATGTAAAGCAACCGCCGCCTGTGCAGACAGTTACTCTAGAAACTGTTTCAGAGGCTAGACCATTCTTGAACCTGAGAGTTGGTGGAGGGTCACTAGCTATGGATGTGCTACCACAAGTTTTCCCACCCTTGTTGCCATCGATGCTTAAGCGGTCTGGTGGATGCAAACTACCAGGGGGGCAGGAAGAGGTGCATGGAAGCCTACCCTTTGACAAGTTTAAGATGAAGAGTCAGGCTGGGGGGCAAGTTGATGTCAAGAAAAGTGAACAAAATGGTGTGTCCAACATAACACCATATTTGTTTCCTAAGGATGGCATGTGAGGCATATCACCATCTCCATGCAGTGGCCAGGGGGGCATGTCATCAGACATGAAGGATGGAGTGAGTGGCAAGTCTAAGTGGGTGTTGCCTACCCATGCCACCTATGATTTTCATAACTTTGACAACGTGTCAAAGAGTGCACAAGGAGGCAAGGCCCCTTGTAACAAGCCACCCATGAAGGGTCGACAAGGGGGGCATATCATCAACCACAAACAATAGAAAGATACACATGCCCAAGAAGCCACAACAAACCCAAGCCACACATGCTTGTAGTAAGAATGGTAGTGTAGTTGAGTTTGGCAAAGGGGGCACGTAAAAAACCATGAACAAGGCTATGGGGGGCATGTCTCCAACCAGTGGAAAGGGGGGCATGTCACCGACAGTGAGGAAACGAGTGGAGAACAAGTCTAGGAGTATTCATCACACCCAACCCACTCAAAAAATTTCTAAGTATGAGATGGTGTTAAGGGATGGACGAGGAAGCAAGCCCATGCCTAAAGCCCCCCATTGCATGCCAAACATGAATGGCAAACAAGAAGGTATGAATAAGACATCTCGACACACAACAACCAATCATGGTCCTATAAAGAATCAAAGGTTGTTATGTGTTAAGTATAAAAACAATGAAGACATGGGTTTTAGAAAGAGTCAAGTTGGCCACAAGGGTGGTCGTCAACTCTGTAAGTCCAAACACCCGTCTTCTCAACCATATGGGAAGAGTAAGCATGTGCCTAGTTGGGGTAAAATAAGACAGATGACAACTCTTGGCCCCTTTGATGAGTCGAAGGAGTTGAAAATGTCTAGTGCACCACCCAGGATGAGGCAAACACATCGGGTGCAACATCAACCCAACATGTCTAGTAAGGTGGCCAAGGCAGTGGATCATGGGACCCCTTGCAAGCCCACTAAGACAGGGAAAGTTGAGAGGGTGCCATCCATTGTTAAGTTGGAAAATTTGAAACCAACACCAAATGAGTTGTTTCCCCTAACGGAGGGAAGACAAGTAGTGTATGGATGGTTGGTCTGGTTTAACCCATGGACTTGGCAGTGGTTGTACACCTTTGGCACGTTGGTGGGTGCCAAAGAGCATGGATATTAGTGACGTTTGTCACTCTCTTCTATACTAAAATAAATAAATATAATATTAGTAAAAAAAAAAAGAGAAAAGAAAAATCAAAAGCCAATCATGGCTAAAAAATACTAGGTCGAAGTGTCAAGTTTTAGTTAGATTTGTGATGTGAGAACCTGGTCATAACTGATAAGCCACACTCATGTGGTGGCTGGATCCATGCCATTTACATGGCATGAGCAGGTGATTCGTTGTCGGTGTAGACCCTTTATGTCCAGGCCACCCGTCCAAGGAAGTCTGCTTGTCGTAAGAGGATGGGATGCTACATGATCGATTAATCAATGGAAAGTATCTCAAGCCTTATGTCCCTTCTCTTTGGGACGTGGGGTGTCAAGGGGTTCAATGTTGGGCGGCCACAACACCATGGTGACTGGCATGCCAAGCCTGCCACACCTAAGACATGGCATGATACCCTCGTGATAAAGCATGGCTTGAGTAGCTAGCCATGACATGGAAAGAAAATTGAGCTAGTTAAGTTTTACTTCCTTTTGTCAGGGCCTAGCATTCTATAAAAGGCTATGGGTGCATGGCTTTGTAATCAAAGCCAAAATTTGGCTAAGAAAGGTGGTGCCGAGATAAGTATTATTTTTAGGTGGTCAAGTTGAGTTCAACAACTTAGTGCATAATTCTTATACACTAAGTTGTGGGGGGCATTTGTTTACCCATAAAAAAATCAGCTTGTACCACATCGATTAAATACAAGGGGATTAATGGATTGATAAGGCCAGCTCAGCATTAATGATTAAAAGAGCCAGCTGGGCCTAGTTAGGTTGGATTTTTGGGCCTAAGTGGCCAAACCCCTTCTCCTCTATACGATGGCTGACCCGTCTCCGTGGCCCCCATATCCGGACGATGCCTCCACCCCGTGGTATTAAATTTGGCTCCCAAAAACTAAGTCTTGGAAACAAGGCAACACAACGGGGTGCCAAACGGCCGGATACCAAGTCGGGTACCAAATAGTAGGCCATCCAAAAACTAAGTTCTGGAAACAAGGCGGCACAACGGGGTGCCAAACGGCCGGGTACCAAACTGGATACCAAATAGGAGGCCATCCAAAAGTTAAGTCTTGGGTGCCAAACGACCGGGTACCAAGCCGGGTACCAAATAGGAGGTCATCAAAAAACTAAGTCTTGGAAACAAGGCGACACGCCGCGATGGGTATCAAGCCGGCAAAGTAGGGCTTGGTACTTTGACATAGAATTTGGTTAAGTATGAAGCAAAAGGGGTATCAAGCCGACAAGGCAGGCTTGATACCAAAAGAATATGAAAATTGGCTAAGTATGGGGACAAGAGGGTACCATGCCGGCAAGGCGGGCTTGGTACCAAGACATTGAATTTGGCTAAGTATGGAGATAAGGGGGCCGGCAAGGCGGGCTTAGTACCAAGACATTGAATTTGGCTAAGTATGGAGATAAGGGGGTACCAGGTCGGCAAGGCAGCCTCGGTACCAAGACCCCTACAAGGTATCAAGCCGGCAAGACAGGCTTGATAGCCAAGCAAGGTGACAGGGTACCATGACCCCAAGGGGGTATCAAGCCGGCAAGACTGACTTGGTGGCCAGGCAACAGAGGGCCGAGCCAGGTACCAAGCAAGAGACGGACTTGATAGCCAGACTTCAGGGTATCAAGCCAATAAGACAAGAAATTCGACTAAGGCATGGTGGCTAGCTGAAGTAGCCACCCAACTAGGTACCAAACAGCCATGGATCGGCCATGATGCAGAGTTGAGCCCTTATGGGGCCATATGGAGACAAATTCCCAAGACGGGCTTGGTAGCACCTTAACGGGGTACCAAACCGGAAGTGTGCAACTTACCAACTTGACGAGGCTACATAAACTAAGTATGGAGACCAAGCCACCAGGGTTGGCTTGGTAGCGAGGGGTGTCAAGTTGATTACATGGGCTTGGTGGCATGTCGGAAGGTATCAAGCCGAAGCCGTAACAACCAACAAGTTAATGAGGAGGATTTGGTGTCATTGAGGTGGTAGCGGTCTCAAGACGACAAGAGTGGGGAGTCATCAAGCAGCCGAGGGTGAGATCAAGACCTCATCATGGTTCATGGAGGCTAAGGCAAGAGCCTCAACCCCATCCAGTTATGACAGGGCGACAAGGCTCAACACCAACCCGACCCGGCATCGAGGCCATCAAGTACCCACCAACCCCAAGACGGGACAGGGCCTCCAAGGCGATGGATACCAACCAGTCAACAAGACGGGTCAAGGAGCTCCAAGGCAATGGAGGTGAAGACCAAGACAACGGTTACAAATTGGCAACCAAGGCAACGAAAAGGGGTCCCTAAGGCGGTTGGAGCAACAAGTCGACTAGCAGTTACCAAGGCGGTTACCAAGGCAGTTACTCCTAGTGGCTATAAATAGGAGAAACGAAGACGGGAAAAGGGTTCCACAACCAACCATTTGACGCACAATGTCAAGCTTTATCTTTTTCTCTGCAAATTAGCCATAGCCTTAGTTTTCGGAGCTCTCACTGAACCTCCATAGGAGTAGGTGTAATTAACTTAGTTTGTCCCCAAAATCCCATCAAAAACATCAAACACCCTCGTTCGAACATTGTTCGGAGAGGAGTGAACCGTGTTATTAATCGTTGTTCAAGAAGTCAAAAGTGCATTCATTATGTTCAAACACCAGATTTTCCTCGCCAGAAAACAATGTCAAACTTTGGTAGTTTGAGAATTTTTTATGAAAATTATGTATTGTGAGAATTAGTTTTAATTTTTACTGTATTTGGGGAATTAATCCGGCCTTCTCCCTCTCGTTAGACCTTTAAAAACAAGACCCAAGCAACGCGCGTTTCCATCCGAGTTTACTTTTTCCCGTCGGCATTCTTAAGACGACCATCGGCGGTCGTCCAAGCCCTAGCTAACTGTAAACCAACAAACGGCCCTCAAACGCTCCTCGCTGCTCGTCGTCCCTCTTCCGTTCTGCTCTCGGCCGTCACCTTCGACTCGCCTCCATTCCCTTCCTCGTCCTCGTCAAGGTGATCAAGCCATCGCTTTCTGACAAACTATTGGTCTTGAGCTTTCTCCTGAACTGAAAACTGAATTGATTTCCGTTGCTATGCCGATATCTATGCTTTGTGATGCAATAATGGTTAGGTTACACCAAAATCTCTATCTATTAGCTGGTTGAAATTGGTTTCTTGCTTGGACTTTGTATATAGAGTAGCATGCAAAATAAGCGGGCCTGCGTGTTCAGCGCTGATAGAATCAGCGACCTTCCTCCTGGTGTGATACAGCGCATTCTCGTGTTCTTACCGATTAAAGATGCAGCAAAGACTAGCACCTTGTCAAGCAAATGGAGGCATTGTTGGAGAAGTATTCCTGAACTTGTTTTTGATGATGATTTTGCTCAAATCCCTGAAGATCTGGCTGCATCTGAATTGAATGTGATGAATAAGGGTATAATGTTGAACATTTACAATTCCCTGCTTGTTCATGATGGGCCAATTACGAAGTTTGCACTGGCAATCCTTGGATTACGCCCTTGTGCTGAGATTGACCACATCATTCTTTACCTTTCTAACAAAGGTGTTGAATACTTTGTACTTGAGTTTTTCGACAAGCGTTATAAGGTGCATTCTTCCCTATTTTCTGCTCTTCACCTGGAAACCCTTAAACTTTGGCATTGTGAATTTAAACCACCATCTTGGTTTGTTGGGTTTAGTAAGCTGACCTATCTTCAATTGTTCGAAGTTAATTTGCCCTATGATTTCGTCGAGAATTTCCTTCCCAAGTGCCCGATGCTTGAACATTTGATGGTTATATGTTGTTACGGTGCTGTTGGTAAGCATGAAATCATGGCTCCATGTCTCAAATCCTTCTTCTTTATGGGGTACAAGGATGTCTGCTTCATGCGTAGTACACTTCCACCACTTGTCTCATTTTGCCCGCTTGATACTGCCACACCCAATATGGCATCCTTTTTTGCTTCTTCCGCGACTCTTCATCAGTCTTATGCTTATTTCCTGGAACAAGTAAGTTTGTCATTGTCAATTCCCATTCTTGCAAAAAACGCATAACGAGTTCTTGTAACTCATACATGCTGTGTGTTGTATTTTGGTTTCCTCTTAGTGCCTTGATCTAGCTGATGATAATCCTATCCCAGAGGTAGAATTCATGGAGATGAATCATCTTGTCCTTTATAACTGGGAGATTGCACGCATTTTTGTTCTTTTGATTGTGGGTTTCCCCAACTTGCGTACGCTCACTGTTAAGGTTGGTTGCATTTGCAAACTGAATTTTCTGTTTGCAGGGTTGATAAGGGTTATAAATTTTGGTATCTATAGCCTGACTTTGGTTCCTTCACAAATGCGTTCGCAGCTGGAGACTAGCCAACTACGTGATGATCAGCCCGCAAATGATCAAAATAACAGCATACGGAGGGTACTGGAAGCAGAGAACTGCACTGATTTCCTTCAGCATCTTCGTGAGTTGAGAATTGGGGAGAGCCTCTGTGGTCCGTTTGAGCTGGACCTTGTGACGTTCGTACTACTCACCGCCCCACGACTTCGGTTGATTCACATTACGCCTTTTCATCAGTTGGGCTCCAAGAAGGTTATCAGATTCATGAAGGAGGTGCTGAAATGTAGGCGTGTCTCTAAAAGGGCAGAGATCGTATATGATTGGAATGGTGGGGAGGATTGACACCCTTTTCCAGCTTCGCCTCTGTTGCTGCCCTCGTATTCATCTCCGTTCAAAAAACGTATTACTTTCACCGTTGCTACTTGCTATGGTGGTTGAGTGATGTGATGATCTCTTGATTTAGTATAGTTTAGATCTTCCAGATGTGTAACTTTTCTTCCTTTTTGTGTACAGTAAATGAAAGACGGTCTCATTTTGGGCAGTTCGTTTCCTTCATTGTCTCAATGGAATGAGCGAATGACTAGGTTTTTGATGGGGTTGCCTACATCTAGATCAGCAGATGGTTATAATCAATATACGAGATCAACTGGTGCATATGTTGGATTGAACTAACAGGATGTAACGATTCAGTGAAGCGTTCAATAAGAGAGTAATTCAAGTTTTATTTTGCATTAGAAACTGTGATGTATTTTTAATTTTCATATCACGAAAGAATTGTAATTTTTTTATTGTTTATGCTCTCGAGTAAGTATCTTTTTATATATTCTACTAAGTTTGTTTTTATTTATTATAAACCTTCTCATATTAATGTAAAGCTCTAATATTCGTGCCCCAAGTGATTTGAGTGGTAGTTCAGAATCTCAGAACATTTCTCTTTACCGGGTATTTCGCAGTGTCCATGAAACCGTACCGTACCGACGGTTCAACCATGAAATACCAGTATCGGAGGCCAAATCGGTAGGCGGTATTTAACGGTATAACGGTTGAATTACGGTTAAATCATGATTTTATTATAAAATACCCTAACGCTGACTTTCCCGATACGATCTCCGGTACGGTGTCATGGACCATGGTATTTCGAAAGTATATGCTTCGAGTATGCTCCGCTTCTTTCAGAAGTTTCCGTTCAACTTGATAAAGTTGATGATGAGGTTGAGAAGCCTGATATGTTTGCTCTGTTCGCTTCGATCCCAGCACTCCCACAACTATATGTTAGCTTTGACTTCCTGAAGGTAATATGTTTGTTAACATGTTCACCATACTTCTTGCAGACAAATAGGGTTAATGCCTGTACTCATTCCTGTGTTACTGCCCGTCTGCGGTTACTTGTTACAGGTTTTGTCCCAGAAAGACTTCCAAACGCTCCTCATCACTAGAAAGTCCTGTTTTGTCTAATAAGGTGTAGTGATGATAAACGGTTAGTCGATTTTAACCGATAAAGTCGGTTAGTGGTTAATCGATAATCGCTAATTTTTTATTGGTTTCGGTTTCGATTAGTAGTATTTTGCTTAGTGGTTACCCGCTAACCGATTAATCGGTGGAAAAAATCTCAAAGTACACTAGTTCTTAAAAAAAATTCCTAAAATACATAAGTTATAAAAAATTTCCAAAATTACACATGTTTGAGCATCACCGTTTTTGACAAACGCAGTGAAAGGTATCACCGCGTTTGAGAAAAACGGTGAACATTTCACCGTTTTAAAAAACAGCGGTGACGTATTCACTGTTTTAGTCTAAAACGGTGAAGGTATCACCATTTTAAACAGAAACGGTGAACACATCACCGTTTTATACAAAAACGGTGACGCCTTCACCGTTTTAATGATCCACGGTGAAGGCGCTGACGTGGACTAACGCGGGGTATTCACCGCGTTAGACAAACACGGTGAATACCCCGTGTTTGTTTGCGTCAGCGATCCGCGTCGCTGGCGCGTTCACCGTGACCGTTGGATGCGGTGAGGCGCGGATCGTGGTTTTCTTTCCAGATCCGACGCCTCACGCCGAGCCACGTCGCTCGATCCGCGCCTCTTCAACGTCCTCGATAAACGCGGTGACTTCACCGTTTCTGACGGACGCGGTGAACACTGGGAGAATTTAATTCTCGGCAGATCCCTTCCCCCCTTCCCCCAACTATAAATAACCCTTCCCCTTTCACTTTCAACTCACACCACAAACATTTCACTTCTTTCTCCCTCAATTTATCCGCTCTAGTCTCGTTCTAAGTATGCTCTGTGGTTGCGGCTAAGTCCGATCTTCCACATCAGAAAGAATTACTAGAGTTTGACCCTAAAGCCCCCATCCCGCTAAGTTCCCGTCCCTTACAAACCTAAACCCGTCGAACCTCTGTCCGGCTTCCGCCAAAAATGGACGAAGAGGCTCTTCGTGTAGGTTTTTGGTTTATGATTTTTTTTAATCGAAACAATTTGATTTTTTGTTTTTTTTATCAAAACAATCTTTGATTTCATTACTTTTTTATAGATGGGTGCCGAGATATACGATCCTCGATTGTATATCCATTATGGCCCAAGGGATGCGAGTCTCTTAACCGATCAAGAAGCTCATCGCTCCCGTACCATTTGGGATAACAATCCGGTAATTTGATGAGTATTCTTGCTTTATTTTATTATTTTCTAATGTTTTATTTTGCTTTATTTAATCTAATAAATTGATGTTTTTCCTATTTTTTTAGGAATCTCTTGTTCCCGTGGTTCATAAAGGGACCAATAACTTGCCCGCTTGGCATCCAAGGTTGGAGCCCTATATAGCGAGGACAGGTTTGGGAATGTTGCGCCATTTCTTGCGGATCGAAATTGACAACGATTTGCTTACGGCAATGGCGGAACGATGGCGTCCCGAAACCCATACGTTCCACCTTCCGGAGGGGGAAATGACGATCACCCTCAAAGACGTGGCGATCCTCACCGGGCTGCCTATTTCTGGGGATGCCATCATTGGTAGTGCGATCAAACCCGAAGGAGGTTGGGGGCCGCTCATTCTTAGGGAATTGGGCTTTGGCATGCCGACCACCACTCCAATTCCAGGACGGGGGCATCCACCGTTGAATGCGGGCCAAGTGTCGGTCCCGTGGCTGGTATCTCACATCCAGCAAGAGGTGGAAATCAATGACGAGACACCGGAAGAACAAGTCGAGCGCTACGCCCGCATCTACCTCATCGGTTTGGTGGGTGGATTCTTGTTCCCCGACAAGTCCAACCGGTGGATTCAAGGCATATGGTTGCCATTGCTCACTGGTGACTGGGATGCAATTGGAGAGAAGAGTTGGGGATCGGCCGTGCTAGCGGGCGTATACCGGGAGCTGTGTACTTGCTCGAAAGTTGGGGCAAAGCAAGCTGGTGCTGCGCTGTTCATCCTGCAACTGTGGGTATGGGAGCATCTTCCGATGTTCGCACCTCTCGACCCACGTCCATACCGGAGAAACGATGATGAGCTCAACTTTCTGCAAAATCTCCCCTACGGTGTCAAGTAAGTTTATTTCGTACTTAGCCCAATTTAAATTATTATATGCTTGAGCTAGATTTAAATTGAATTTATTCCGTACTTAGCCCAATTTAAATTTGATTGCATTAGCTAGATTTAAATTGAATTTATTCCGCACTTAGCCCAATTTAATTTTGATTGCATGCTTAGTTAGATTTAAATTGAATTTATTACGTACTTAGACCAATTTAATTTATTATATGCTTAGCTATATTTCAACTAAATTGATTCCGTACTTTTACTTACAAGGTGGATAGGAGCAAATACGAATGACCATCAACCTGAGCATTCGTTACTGTTTTATCGTTCTGAGTTAGATAAACCATGGTGGAATCAAGTAATCATGTTTTGTCCATATTTGAACAAGTTAAATTTTGTCAATGTAAATGGTCGTTAATTCCGAATTTTTGAATGAATATAGGTTATATGGGATCCATATCCACGTGAAGTGGTTGAGCTGCATCATCTTAGGCACCCTCTGGATCACGAGACGTGGTTGTGCAAGGTGCCATTGATCTGCTGGCACATGGTGGAATGGCACCTACCCGATCGATCCCTGAGGCAATATCGAATGGAGCAACCAATTCCACAAGACCCGCCGGCAGGTTTCAGGGAGCTACATGCTATGGACCTCCGACACACTGCAAAGAACTGGCAGCTAAAGCATGGATTCTACATCAACATCTGGGAGAATCGATCTCAATGGGTGGTGCAAGGGATGCCGGAGACGAGACCGATGGGCTACCACGATGGGTACATGCAGTGGTATCGGAAGTTCACCATGAGATGGGTGTCAAAGCAAGGTGCTGTGATGGGTTCGTTGGTAAGTCATCCTAATCTCCCTCATTCTAAAATATATTTATTTTAAGGTTTAGTTAATTTGATATATTTTGTGCTTTCCTTAGGTTGATGGTTTGGAACACGCCAAGTACACTCTCGAAAGTGCTCCAACCATGGATGAGCGGAAGACTACTTGGTTGACCCGACTTATGAACAACCTCCTGAGTTGCACTAGAGAGCAAAGGAGGGATGTCGTGGCCTGTCCTCTCGTTCCTGCCCCGGCACGACCCTCATTCTGTGATGATGCACCCATTGTGCCCCCGGTTGAGCCCCACGAAGGAGCAAACGCAGGCCTCTGCCTACGTTCGAAGAGGTGCGTACAACTCAAGCAACCGAGCTCCCTGAACCGTTCGAGTACCAGTGGGCACCTGCAGCGGATGCCGGTGGAGGGTCATCGAGTCGTGGAGCATCTCAGGAATGGGACACTTTCTCTCATGGGTTCTCTCAATTCCAACATCAGCAACAGAGTTCGATGTATCAGACCCCGCAACAACAAACTCCGCACCCCCCGATCATTCGTCAAGCTACCGGTCCATCTCAGCCACCACCACCACCATATGTAACCCCAGTTGGGGCTCGGGTCAAGAGAAATCCGCGACCAGCCGTTGAGCGAGCCCGCCAAGAAGCAGCGGCGGAGGGGGGAAGAAGGGGTCGAGGACGTCGTGGAGGACGAGGAGGAAGAGGTGGAGATGGGGGCCAAAATGAAGCAAATGAGTGAATTTATCGTTTTATCATTGTAGTGAACTATCCATGTTGTTTTTGTGCTTTTTAGGTGTTGTTATTTGAGTTTGCATTGTCTAAAAACTATCCTACGCACTTAAGTTGTCGAATGAATATTCTGGATCATTTTATCAAGAATCAGTATCTTCCCTCAACACGAAAATGTTGGGAAAATCAACCACGATCACATAGAATTTTACAGATCTCAATTCCGAGTCCAAACGAGTGAGATAAGTGAGTTCAAAGCTGCACATTTCGTTAAAGTAACCTTTTGCGTACTAAGAACTAAAACGCGCGTATCTTATTCGTTTGAGGTCGAAATAACGAGCCGTTTGCGGCAGCACGATCATATCGACAAGGAGAACATTTTAGAGTTAACAAAATACTTGGACTTCAAATTCAAGCGGTAATGAAAATTTAAACAAGCGATCAATTTAGTAGCAGGATACAAGTAAATGCAAATTAAGTTGATGGTTGTCCTGGGCAACGCCTCTTGTCGTGACCAGGTTGTCTGCACTTAGAGCATCGCTTCGGTCCCCTGCTCGTCCGTTCAACTTGATCCATCTCATTGTCTATCCTTTCAACTCTAGGACGGCCTTTGGTGCGTTTTAGGTGCAATAGTGGGATAATCAACTTTCCAGCGTATATAGGCCAATACGCTTCATCTGGCATGGGGCTCAAAGCTGCATTATATGAGTTCCGTATCGCTTGTTCAGTGTAGTAAGGACTCACCAGGCTGTTTCTGTTCATGGTTATTGACTTAGCAACCGCCATTGCATGTGAACAGGGTATCCTTTCGTTCTGATACTTTTGACAAGAACACTCCCCTAATTCGTAGTGCAATTTAACCGTTTGACGATTGTGACCACCTCTCCCTCCACCCCATATACCTGTTTCGACAGCGAATATTCCTTCACTACGGTTAAAAAGTACAACCTTATGCTTACTTGATTTTTCATCGTTCTTCTGCATTTGAGCGAATACGTCATGTGCTATTGAATGACCTTGCAACTCCCTCCCTATAGCTTGCTGTAGCCGAGCAACTCGCCACTTGTTGACCTTCCAGTAAGACATCTCCACGATGACAGAAATAGGCATCGCTCGAAGACCCTTGTACACATTATTTATACTTTCTCCATGGTTGGTAGTTGCAATGCCCCATCTGGCCCCGTTGTCCATATGGAACGTCCACATGGGCAACTCTTGACCTTCAGCCCATACTGCTCCAGCTCGGTGGGTCTGACGGATCGTTTTCATCTTCTGCTCGTACTTTTTTGGTTGATGTGCAACCGCTGAAAGGTGAACAAAATCGAAACTGGTCAATACATGATGAATAACATCAGCTTAATAAACACAAACTTAAATCGCATAAGAAAAACATTAGTACCTGCATTCCAAAGTTGATTTTTGATGTCTTTCTTCTTCCCAAATTTGTGCTGGAAATTGGCGAGCCAGTGTCGAATACACCATCTCCATCTCCATCCCCACTCGTCGGGAAAACCACCAACAGCATTCCTAATCCCCGCATGTCGATCGGATATAATCGTAATATCTTCCCGCTGTATCACGTGTTCGTGTAGTTGGTCAAAAAACCATGCTCAACTTAAGCTGTTCTCCCCTTCCACTAATGCAAATGCAAGCGGGAAAATCCGCCTGTTTCCATCAAAGCCAGTGGCAATTAGAAGACATCCTCTGTACTTCCCAGTAAGGAAAGTTCCGTCAACCTGAATAAAAATTTAGGATCTAATTAGTATGAAATATACGTAACAGAAAATAATACAACATTTAAAACCGGAACTAGTTGGTAAAATACCTGAATAACCGGTATGCAGAACCCAAAACCGTCAATGCATGGTTTAAAAGCCCAAAAAAGACGATGGAACATCAGCTTCTCCTGTACTCAAACTTGATCCTCAGTGTATACATTGGTGTATACTGGGACGAAAGCAGTCCCAGGATTGGACTCCTCCATTGCTCCCATAAGTCTAGGGAGTAAAGCATACGAATCCTCCCAATCACCATACACCTCAGCCATGGCTTTCTGCTTACCATGCCATGCTTTTTTGTACCGTATCGTGTAAGAATGTCGATCCTTCACCTCTGCCATGATAGCTTTCACCTTGATATCTGGTTGTGCTTCTATAAGGTGCTTAATAGTTCTCCCAACTTTCTTTGCTTTTAGTTGCATGTGATCTTGGGAAAGTATAGAAGAGGAGCATGTGTGGATCGTCTCAGCTTTGCGAATCACCCAAGCACCCTTTCTCTTCATATTTGCAGCCCGCAGTTGCCACGTACAACCCTCTGCATCATGCTTGCATATGACATGTAGTTGTTTACTGTCAGAATATTTTACCTTCCACTCGAAATTGCGCCTCAACGCCTCTTCTGTAAAAGCATCCTGCACAGCGTCTTTCGATGTGAACGCCATACCCACCTCCAAATTGGCCGTCGGATTGTACACTGGCATAGGGACAAAGTCGGGGGGATCATTCTGACTATGTAAAAATTGAGTTGGAACCTGTGTGTAATATGGCGTGGGTGCTTCACGAAATGCCGCCTCATCATCGTTATCATCAGTATCTTCCTCCTCCTCGCTCACTGATCTCAAATCTTCCTCAGTATCCTCGTCGCTCGACTCGAATGGATAGCTCGGGCTACAAGGATCAACATGACCACGATCACCAACATCGTCCTCTCGCTCATGTGAAGTACGCCCTGATCGAATGGTATTCTCGATTTCAGACCACTCTGGCCCCCAAGCAGGCCATTGAACACCATCGGCCTCAACGAATGGGGCTGGTTGAGGAGGTTGCGAGTATTTGTCCCATCCTGCACTACTCGATCCACCGTAGTTGATTGAACCACCACCCTCCCCGTAACCTCCTGTATAACCACCGCCTTGGTAGTTGCTCGAACTACCACCCCATTCGTACCCTCCTGCAAAACCATCATCATAAGAATACTGGTGAGAATGAGATTCACCGACCGCCTCGGTCTCAACATACACCTCTGCAAGCCGGACTTGGTTATCGCTTAGGAACTGTAACATCATCGTAACCGCGTCATCATCGTTTATGACAACTTCTTGGAACACGACCCCGCTAGCACTCATGTCTGGATACCGGTAAGTAATTTTGCCAAGTCTCGTATGTCCGCTCGTACAAACCCTTTCTGCACAAATATCACAGAGTTCTTGAAAATTGAATCGGGAATCAATTTTCAGCATAATGGATTCGCCGTTCTCATAATCAATGCCTATGTCAGAGTTTGTCACCCTTCCATTCCACCGAATAGTAAGATGAAACTTCTTGAATTTACCCATATCTACAAATCGAGCATAAGTATCTATTAGCTTAAAGACAGTAAAATTAACCAAAATCATATTGTACAACTAATATTATCCATCTCATAACTAACGAAAATAAATTCAACTAACTAACAACAACATAATACGAAAATTAAATCATACTATAACTAATGAACATAAATTCAACTAACTAACAACAACATAATACGAAAATTAAATCATACTATAACTAACGAACATAAATTCAACTAACTAACAACAACATAATACGAAAATTAAATCATACTATAACTAACGAACATAAATTCAACTAACTAACAACAACATAATACGAAAATTAAATCATACTATAACTAACGAACATAAATTAAACTAACTAACAACAACATAATACGAAAATTAAATCATACTATAACTACTAAAAACATAATTAGACTATAATACGAAAAGTCTCAACATACCGAAAAATTTCTGTTCTGTGTATTATGCTCGATTTAGGTTGCTGAAATTTGAAGAAAGGGGAGTGGTTATGTTTTTACAACTGCTGGTGGTGTGCTATTTATAGGAAAATCTGCCTACTATTCACCGTTTTTGACCAACACGGTGAACACCATCACCGCGTTTGTATCAAACGGTGAATAGTTGGTAGCTGCGACCTACTTTTGACCTACCAGGGGTGGGAAACGTGGGAAATGATCACCGCGTTAACCTACAACGGTGAATGTATTCACCGTTTTTAACTAAAACGGTGATGTATTCACCGTTGTTTTCAAACGCGGTGAACCTTTCGCCGTTTTAATGTGAAACGGTGAATACTTCACCGTTTTGGTTAAAAACGGTGAAAGGTTCACCGTCTTTCTCAAACGCGGTGATGACCTTCACCGGGTTTGTCAAAAACGGTGATGCTCAAACATGTGTACTTTGGGAATTTTTTTTATAACTCATGTATTTTGGGAAATTTTTTTAAGAACGTGTGTACAGTGGGATTTTTTCCTTAATCGGTTAGGTGTTAACCGATAAGAAAACCGATAACCGCCTACTAGTGTCACTACATGATTTTGGACTTTGGCTAAGGGAAAAAGTTCTAAGATTCAAAACCAATCAAAGTCGCAATTCCAAACATCCCAATTCTCACCTATGGCAAACAACCCTCCATCAAGAGTCTCAAATGTTTTTAAGAGTTAGAACTCAAAAGTCACCCCTCTCTAACTCCCCTTTGCACTTGACAGAGGGAACCTTAGGTCGATGACTATGGGCTAGATGAAGATCTTGGAGTAAATGACGACGACTATGGGCTAGATGAATTGGAGCAAGATCCTCGGATCATTTAGGTTGAGGATTTGGAGATGATGAACTTGTTATTTGTGTCTAGTTGTGATTGTGACTTGTGGTTGAATTGTGGGCATGTAGACTTTATGTTGCGGAGTTGTGGTTGAATTGTGTGGTTGCTTTAGACTTTATGTTCAATTGATTTAGATGACTTTATGGTGTGTGTGATTTTAGAGGCTGAAACAAAAGCATGTCATTCAAAATTGGGGCTGAATCATTCAAGAAGGTGGCTGAAATTCGATCTCGTGGGTCAATTTCTTACCAAAAATCGAGAAAGAGAACCAGAATATGGAGTTTCGGTTAACCGCAAGGGAAAATCAAAACCGACGTTTGCGATTTTCGGTTAACCGAAGTCTCTATCGGTTTCGGTTAACGGTCTGAGAATAATTTCGATTGCGATTAACCGATATTTCGGTACGATTAAACCGAAATCGCACCGATCACCCCTAATCAGGTGTATCCCAAACTTGCATACACTAACAATGCAGGTTGGTTCTCAGAATCTCAAAACTTCATTTGCACCCAGTTTGGACCATGTTCCTCGTCATTAAATTCATTGTTTGTATTAAAAAAAAAACAGTTTGTAGATGGAAGCTGAAGGAGAGACCGTTGATGTTCCAAAGCCATTGATGTCTGCTGAGTCGGAGAAGGTGATAGTTGTTTACAGTGTAATCAGCAGGTGAAGATTCTAGGCAGCCATAAGCATGTATCAAAAGATGCATAGGTTATGTCTTTGACTATGCACCAGTTAACAATTACCTCGTATCCTTCACATCCTTTACCTAATAGTTTCTTCCTGCCAAGTGCAAAAGCATAACAACAGAGGAAGGTATGTACATTCCGAGCAAAAGTGGAAATGCAGCAGATGTACTCATCTTAAGAGGACGCGTGCAATCATATACATATAAACCACACGAAGTTGTGAAAGTGAGAAGTTGTCCTGGGAAAATGGCTGCTGGGAGGGACATCCACATATACAGAGTGTCAATCCTCATCATCCGACGCATATATGACCTCTGCTTCTTTAGACACACGCTTGCATCTCGCCATGTCCTTGATGAATTTCATAACCTTTTCAGAGCACAATGTATGTGCAAGTGATATGATGACCCGCTTAAGTAGTGGGGCATTAGCTAGGATGAACCTCACCAGGTCCAGCTCAACTTGTGTACAATGACCATCATAAATTCTGAACTCTGTAAGATGCTGAAGGCAAACAGAAGATCCAGGGCAGTCATCTGCTTCCAACAACCCCCACAGGCTGCTGCTTTCTTTGTTTTTTGTGAGCTGATCACGTTGTGGCCAGGATTTTATCTACAAGAGCATTTGTGATGCAAACAGAGTCAGGCTATATACTGAAATTTACAAACCTCATAAATTCTGCAGACAGAAAATTCACTTTGCAACACAACCGACCCGAACTGAGAGCCTAAGCAAGTTTGGAAAGCTCATGATTAAGCAAGCAAAAGCAAACTTTTTTTTTTTTTCGGTAAGTAAGCAAAAGCAAAAGCAAACTTCGCCTCTGAACAATCAATGACCAGATGTGTTATGCCGAGAACTTTTAAGAGGTGAAGAGTAGGAAGCCTGGCGGGGGCATTATCAACACCTGCAGCAAGGAACTAAGAGAAAACCATGAAAAGTACAAAGCATGAATGACTACAGAAAGCATCTGCCAGAACAGGAAATAGGCTGTGACAAAGTAACTTACTCTCAGGATTTCATAGTGAACATAGAACTGCTGGAGTGCCGGGAGAGAAGCAAACAAAGCTACCATGCCAGGTGTGCGACTTACACACCAACTTAGAGAGACGTATGACAGAAGTGGGGTATATTTGAAGCAGATATCCGGGACAGGCTGATCAAATGCTAAGTATTTGAGACATGGAGCCGTGAGTTCAACCTTACCAAGACCTTTACAATACACAACCGTCAAATGCTCAAGCATCGGGCACTTCAGAAGGAAATTCTCGAAAAAATCGCAGGGCAAAGTAACATAAAGTAATTTAAGATGGGTAAGCTTACTAAATCCCACAAATCAAGTTGGTGGTGTAATTACACACACCCTAAGAGTCAGGGATTTCAGGCTAAGAGCAGAAAATAGGGAATTATGCATCTTATGCCTCTCTCTGTTGGCGATACAGATCTCGAGGCTAAGATCTTGGACACCTTTATTAGAAAGGTAAAGAATGATTTCGAGTATAATCATGATAAAAAACAAGATAAGGTGTATTTCTCCAGTACTGCCTTCATTTTCTTGACAAGACACTAGTTTTGGCTGCATCTTTGATGGGTAAGAACACAAAAATCCGCTGTATTGCATCAGTAGGAAGGTTGGTGATTCTATCCGCACTGCACACCAGCTTCATCTTGCAGGCTACTACACACAGTCATAGCAAGAAACCCATTTCAGCCAGCTAATAAGTACAAATTGGGAAAGATAACCTTACCATTATTTGCATCACAAACACAGAAATCCCCCGACATAGTAGATCATTCAATTCATTTCAATTCAGTTTAGGAGATAACTCGAAGAACTGTAATTGGCAGAAAGCGGTGGATTGGGTTACCTTGTTGAGTTCCCCCCAAACCGAAATCGAAACTCCGAAACAGCAGAGTGGCAAAAAGGCGCGAAATTGCAGGGAGAGAGAGAGAGGGCTGTGCAGAATGCAGTGGAGAGACACGAAAAGGAACAGACTTGGAATTCGGTGTTAGAGTGGAGAGAGAAGGCGGGAGATGTACAGATTTCCGTCCCCAGAGATAGTGAAATGGTGCGAAGGGCGAGCAAGAGTGTGAGAGAGAGAAGGGAGCGAGTAGTTTTGCTGGTTCACCGTGACTGGAGCTAGGGTTTGGGGGAGACTGGGAGGATCACCGAGGATGACAGGAAGGGAAAGGGGGTTTATCGCGTTTGTCATTTAGCTTGTTGGGTCAAGTGGGTTGAGAGACCGTTTTAGTCGGATTTAGTTCGATTTAGTATGTATGAAAAAGTCATTATATTTTCATACATCTATAAATTATAATAATATAAAAGATTACATTAAAATAATACATCTATTTAAATCCAATATATAGTGAAAAGTGTAAAATTTGGCAGCAATTTGTGTTGTAGCCCGTAGTTGCTGCCAGCCCATGTGCGGAACGGAGAAAGTGGGGTAAAATACCTCGGATACCACTAAAATATGAGAATTAGGGTAGTTGTACCACTTAAATAAAAGTAGGGCATCGGGTACCATTTAAATCATTCAATTGTGCATTCGTTTAAAATTTTGTCCATCTACCGTTAACAAAGAATAAATATTATTTTTCTATAAAAAAATTTAAATAATATATAAGAAAAAGGGAAAACATTAAAAAAACAAAAGAAATTCCCCTCTTTTAAATTCCTGTCACTATTACCATTGTTCCCTCTCCATAACCTTGCGTTGCCTCCGTTCTCCTCCTGGCCTCCTCGCTTCCTCCGCTTCACTACCATATCGAACAAGAAACATCCGACTATTCATCCTCCTCCTTCCTCCTTCATGTAGCCACAATCGTAACCGAACGAGGCCCTGAAACCCGAATGAAGAACCCCCAAAATTGGAGAGAACGATGACTGAGAACAAAAAGATTGAACTCGATATGACTAGCTAGAGCATTTGTCGTGCCGCGTCATTGAACTCGGCGGTGACTCTGGAGAACCAATTGTATCAAACTCAGCAACGACGGGGAATACATGCGAGGGTTCGGCGGGAACGTTGAGAGGGCTCTTACCGTGCTTTCCGTTATTCTATTTCTAACAGGACTGAATTCAGCTACGATTGTGACTATGGTACAGTATTAGGAATATGGAAGCTAGGAGGTTATGAGGAGGACGGCGGCGATGCTATGGAGATGGGAGAGTTGAGAGGGAAGACCACGTCGGGCTGTGAGATGTAGGAGGCCATCGTCTTGAGATCTGGAATGACCATGGTAAAAGGGAGACAAGTAACAAGACGTCAGTTCGAAGAGAAAAAGCAGGTGGTTAACATAGCAACTACTGATTATCCCACGTGCAAGGACACGTCAGCCACGTCTGAGAAAGAAGTAGGCAGTTCTTTTGGAAGTTACTCTCCATGCGGATTTTCTATGACAATTACCATCTCAAGGCTATAAATAGGAGGAGTTGGCAGAGAAGGGGTTCGCCAAATTCACACCAGACAACCCAATGTCAAATTTTATCTTTTTATCATTCCTCTGCAACTTTTAGCCGTAGTCGTAGATCTGGAGCTCTCACCGAACCTCCATAGGATTAGGGTAATTTAATGTAGATTTCTATCTCGTGAGTCGTGTAAACATCGATCACCCTCGTTCGAACTTTGTTTGAAGAGGTGTGAACCGTGTCTTAGTAATCGTTGTCCAAAGAAGTCAAGGTGCAATCAATTCAATTTCAACACAAGTTTTCTCGACGGAAAACAAATTTGGCACACCTGGTGGGACCCTTGTGGTCGATTCAATGGCTTCGAGGCGGAGGAATCAAGAAGGTGACGTTCCGGCTGGTTTCATGGAGGAGCAGGTGGCCAACATCGAGCATTGCCAAGCGTCCGACGTGGTGACCGGAGGAAACAGTGGAGAAGAGATCTTGGTGGCGACCGCACCTGGTGGAGATCTTGGTGAAGCCGTGGGGTCCCTTCGTCAGATGATGGAGGAGAACCGCAAGATGGTGGCAGAGAACCTTCGAGCCACAGAGGAGAACCGCCAACTGCTGATGGACAACCGTCGCATGATGGAGGAGACTCAGGCTAGTACTCATCAGGTAAATTCTCAAATTGACTGTCTCAATTCTCGCATTGATAGACGTTTCAGTCAATTAGTTGAGGTAGTTAATAAGAACAAAAATGAGTTGGATCAGTTTCGACAAACTCTAATTAGACCAGTAGTGCAGTCAAGAGCTTTTCTATCAGATGGCACAAGCACAATGCCTACTAATAGTGTTCTTTCTCCCGTCGGTGGACGGAATGGCCAACCACGGCAAGAGAACTTGCCGCATCAGACGGCAAGCCAATCACCCCCACGTCAGAGTAGATCATGTTGAGATTCCCGCTACTGCTCAAGTGGGGGAATCGTCACATGGACGTGTGGGAGTTGAAGTGGTACCCCCACGTGGTGAGAACCTCTCCACCATATTCAACACTCAAGTTGAGCAGCCACTCGGGCAAATGGGTGCTCGTCCATCTATCCCGGAGGCAAGACCCTACGTGGCTCCCATGAATTTGGGAGTAGGAGGAGGTCTAGGTGGCAACATGGATCAGATCCCACCACGAGGCTACCCGAATCCAACGCCACCCCATTTCCATTTCCATGGGCATGGCATGGATCCCATTGGGTTTGTACCGTATGGGGGCAACAAGGGGGGCATGATGCCAACACCCTTCAGGATCAAGTGGCTCAACTCCTCAAGGAGCAGTTTGGCATGAGAGTAAGACCTGCCATGTCACATGTATACCGTAAGCCATATCCGGAATGGGTAGATAGGCTTCACCCATTTTCAAGAGGATTCAGGGTTCCTGAGTTTGCCACATTCACAAGGACTGGAGACTAGTCCACTGTAGAGCACATTGGACGCTTCACTGTCCAATGTGGCGATGTAGGAGATTTCATGAAGTTGAGAATATTCGGCAACTCGTTGACATGGCCAGCTCTTGCTTGGTACGTCAACTTGCCGTCTAGATCAATCCATACTTGGCCACAAATGGAACAAGTCTTCCACGCTCAATTTTATAGATTTGAACCCGAGGTATCCATGGCTGACTTGGAACGTATGCGCCAACAGCCAGGGGAATCGGTTGAGCATATCTTGACTAACTTCAAGAATGCCCGTAATTTTGCTTTGTCAATTTGACGGAGAGGGAGTTCGTCAAGCTGGAACAAAGGGTTTGAGTTTTGAACTAAGGAAAAAATTCCAAGATAGAGAGTTCTCTGACTTGTTCCAACTCATGTCTTGTGCCGTGAGGTATGAGTCTCTTCTACATGAGGAAGAGAATCGTAGCAGTGCCTCGAGGGGCTCCTACTTCCCAAACTTATACTATAACATCAATCATGTTGACTACGAGGCCAATGAGGTTGAGGTAGACTTGGCTGAGATAACTCCAGGGAAGCCATACATGTGTGCTTCCTTGTCTAGAGTTGAAGATGGGCCACAAGGGGGAAGACCCAATCATGCTCCCATTCAGCAAAGGAAGTACTCCTTTGACATCTCGAAGGCAGACTTGACTTTTGACCAACTCTATAAGGATGGTCAAGTCAAGTTGATAGGGGGGCATGTATTTCCCTCACCCGATAAGTTAAAAGGAAAGAATTATTGTAAGTGGCACAATAGCATGTCGCATGCCACTGATGCTTGTGTAGCTTTTCACAATGTCTTGCAAGATGCCATTGAAAAAGGACGCATCAAGCTCCCCGAGGCAAAGAAGGATGCCATGTTGGTGGACACTCATCCGTTCCCTAAGGTGCTTGGCATCAACATGGTCAACCCAGACTTCTCCAAAGTCGAGTTGTCACGTTTCAAGCTTGTGTTGGATACAACACCGCCACAAAGAAGCCCCAGTGTGGTTTTTGAGCAAGGGACCTTGTCAGGTACCAAGCAGGCTAGCCCGGCCGCAATGATGACAGATAAGGGTGAGAATTTGTGTTCTCAATGCAAGAAGAGTATCAAGCTTGACGAAGAGAAGTCGAGATGTCCAAATGGGGGCAGGTGGTTTCCAAGATGCCACATCAACTTAAAGACACACATGTTTGTGATAAACATGATAATATGGCTAAGTATGGACAAGGGGGCATGCCACCAATCACAAACAGTGGAAATGGGGGCAAGTCCAACAAGAAAAGACGTGGGAAAGGCGGAAAGAGTTGTCATAGTCTCTCAAATTTGGCTAAGTCTGGTCAAGGGAGCATGTCACCCACCATGAATAATGAAGTAGAGGGCATCTCCAAGAAGACACAACAAGTCAAACCCGCACATGGAATTTGTAAGCGTGAGATTATGGAGAAGGGTGGACAAGGGGGCAAGTCCATGACAATGAGTAGTAAGTACTTGTCGCCAACCACAAAGAGTGGACATGTGGCATTATATAAGAAGTCACCATATGCACCAGCCAAACATGGTTGTACAAAGAATCAATGGTGGTTGAGTGCTAAGTATAGGTGCCAACAAAGTTTATATGTTGAAAGACGAAGTCAAGAAAGCCACACGAGTGGTTGTCGACTTGTCAAGTCTAGACATGGTCCCCAACATCATGAGGAGATTAAACATGTATCAAGTAGGAGGAAAGCAAGGAGGAAGAACAATCATGATCGCCTTAACATGTCAAGTAAGGTGGCCAAGAAAAAAAGAGTATGAGATCCCAAGCAAGGCCACCAAGATAAGACACGACCATGTACCATCCCGTAGTGAGACGAAAAATTCAAAACCAATATATGGAGAGTCATCTCCCATGGAGAAAAAGAGTCATGTGGTCTATGGATGACATGTCTGGTTTGATCCATGGGCTTGGCAATGAGTGTACACCTTTGGTACATTGATTGTTGCCAAAGGATATGGAAAGCAGTCAGTGGCGGAGCCAGAAAATTGGCCAAGGGAGTGTTTATTCATATCATAAAAAATCAACTTTATATAATAGAAAAGTCAACATTAAACAAAATAAAAAATCGACAGCACAATACACAATATTTTTACAATTATATAATAATAGTTCGACTCACACCACTTATAACGAACAACAAAGAGATTAATATTCTGAAAACATTGTAGAACACATTCCTTGTGCAAACTAGCACGCAACTCTTGTTCAATATATGTCACCAACTCATCGTTTATCTGATTTTGAATATAATTTTTTTCTATATTCATGGGTGAAAATTATCTTCCTACACTTATAGTTGCAACACACAGATAATTGTAAACTTGAAAACTAAATAAATAGATATATACGGTTTGTGCTTATTTGTTTTCACTTTTTTTCTAACTCGTCAACCCTTTGTAAGGTTTTAAACCTGTCGTCGAATGGTAGATAAACTAATACATGAATTCAACTTATGACCGAGAAATATCATAAGATTTGGGATAATTGGTATGAATCGTACTAGTATTGACAGGGGAAAAAACCACCATTGGGAACTTCTTATGGGAACAATAATAGTTGTAGGTTTAATTTTAGAACTAACTTGTTATTTTATATAAATAATTGTAAGATTTATTAGAAACTCATCAAGTGAAAATTGTAAGGAAGATTGTTTAGTATTAGTCAGTCAAGGGCAATTCCCCAAATTTACTTTTCCCTTTGTAAATTTTTGCTGCTCCTCCAAGCCAATGGGAGTGCAAGCACCACCCCCCCCCCCAACCTAATGAGTGGCTCCGCCACTTAGAGCAGTGACTTATTATATAATGTACTTATTATATATTATTTATAGAAAACTTTGTAGCCAACCATGGCTAAAAAAAAGAGATAGAGAGACAATCAAAGTAAAAATCTTGAGTCGGAGTTGTTAGACTTCAATATAAAGATCTTGCCACCAAGTTGTTGTGATGGCTTGACGTGGTAACCATAATTTGGTTAATGCATGGAACAAGTTTTGACGACGAGTTCCATCTGATCATGTTGGCTTGATAATTGAGAGCCAAATTTTGGCTAAGGCACGAGACAAGCCTTGATGCCAAGTTCCATCTCGCTATGTTGGCTTGACGTGAAAAACCAAAATTTGGCTAAGACTTGAAACAATTTTTAACGACGAGTTCCATCCGGCCGTGTTGGCTTGATGTAAAAAAACAAAATTTGACAAAGGCATGAGACAAGCTTTGGCGGCGAGTTCCATCCGATCGTATAAGCTTGATCATTGAAAAACCAAAATTTGGTTAAGGCATGGAACAAGTTTTGACGACGAGTTCCATCCGGCTGTGGTGGCTTAATGAAAGTCGAAATATTGGCGAAGTAAAATTTGTGTGTTGATAAGCCAACACGTTACTTGGCCAGCATGGTAGTCTACAACTACTTAGTCCATAATTCTTATGCACTAAGTAGTTGGGGGGCATTTATTTACACCTAAAATTGGCTTTGTACCACATTGATTATTTACAAGGCATTTATTGTCTTTATAAGGCCAGATCAATAATAAAAATTAATGTTATTTAAGCTGGCCCTTATGGTACTAGATTTTTAAGCCCAAACCACTAAATATCTAGGAAGGAACTAATCTCGTCGCAAGTTGGGTAGACCGACATGGTCGCGAGATCTAGACCACTTTTGCGTCTAGCTTAAGAGCCCGACGTGGTCACGAGATCTAGACCACGTTGGTGTCTAGCTTAAGAGCGCAACGTGGTCGTGAGAGATCTAGACCACGTTGACGTCTAGCTTAAGAGCCCAACATGGTCGCAAGAGATCTAGACCACGTTGACGTCTAGCTTAAGAGCCGACGTGGTCGCGAGATCTAGACCATGTTGGTGTCTAGTTTAAGAGACCGACGTGGTCGCGAGATCTAGACCACGTCGGGCTGTGAGATGTAGGAGGTCATCGTCTTGAGATTTGAAATGGCCATGGTAAAAGGGAGACAAGTAACAAGACGTTAGGGATGGCAATGTGGCGGGTTTGCCTAAACCATCCCCATCCCTGCTTTCAAATATTTATACCCATACCCGCCCCATACCCATGCGGAGCAAGGTTTTGTAAATGCATCCCCATTACCCATTGGTTTCGGGTACCCATGGGTAACACCTGCCCCGTACATCCAACATTATAATACGGAATATTTTACATGTAGACTTTCAATTATAACATTAAACGCACCTACTATATCATGAAGTGGACAAAGAGACAATCATTTTTAATTCGATTCAAAGCATCTTATACTAAAGCATCCATTAATCCATATCAGAGTAAAGTACAATGTCATTCAAATCATTATTCTCTATTGTGATACATATATTAAGTAATAATTAACTAACATAATCTTGTTAACAAGGGGAAAAAGTGGAGATTTTTCCAGAAATAACACTGTTTAAAAAATAAATTCCAAAAATAGCACCCAACTCCGAAAAATTCCAAAAATATCACAATTTTTGTAAAACCGCCACTCGGAGGTGCGTTTTTCGATGAAAACGCCACTCGAGGGCGCGTTTTTCGATGAAAACCGCACTGGTAGGGAGCGGTTTTGCAGACCACACCCCCAGGGTGCGTTCTGTTTTTTTTTTTTTTTTTTGAAAAATACTAGCTTAGGTGGAAACTTCAAACGAACGTATCTTTATGTTCGGGTATCCGATCGTCGCGATTTTTTTTTTTTATTCCGCATAAATTTTTGAGATCTTGCAAGCCGAAGACTGCCAAAGGTGGTTTGGTCTCGCCTTCATACCAAAAAATGTCGTTTGCTACCCCGAACGAGCTTTTTTTCGATTTCGTCAAACTTTGGACAACCGTAACTTTGTGCTCCAAATCCAAACGGCATGACTTTTTTTTTTATTTCGCATAACTTTTTAAGGACTACCATTTTTACTAGGAATGTATTTTCAAAACAGGAATTATTTTTGGATATACAGGATTTTGGGAATAGCTTATCTTCCCTTCTCAGCAATCCACGTACATTTTGAAATTATGTCTATGATAAAAGTTGTATTCCTTAAAAATTTATGCGAAATAAAAAAAAATTCATGACGTTTGGATTTTGGAGCACAAAGTTATGGTTGTCCAAAGTTTGACGAAATCGGAAAAAAGTTCGTTCAGGGTAGCAAACGACATTTTTTGTGACGAAGGCGAGACCAAACCACCTTTGGCAGTCTTCGGCTTGCAAGATCTCAAAAAGTTATGCGGAATCAAAAAAAAAATCGCGACGATCGGATACCCGAACATAAAGATACGTTCGTTTGAAGTTTCCACCTAAGTTAGGATTTTTCAAAAAAAAAAAACAGAACGCACCCTGGGGGTGCGGTTTGCAATCAAAACGCACCCTGGGGGTGCGGTCTGCAAAACCGCTCCCTACCAGTGCGGTTTTCATCGAAAAACGCGCCCTCCGGGTGGCGGTTTTACAAAAATGGTGCTATTTTTGGAATTTTTCGGAGTTGGGTGCTATTTTTGGAATTTATTTTTTAAACAGTGCTATTTCTGGAAAAATCTCGAAAAAGTGAAAGAGTGAAGAGAAAATTGAGAGAAATAAATTAGATTTTGATTTGGGTGGCCACTCAATTGCATTTCTACTATATTTTTTTTTGGGTAATGTCTATTTTTTATCCAAACCTTTTTCGGATTCTTTTATATTATCCAAACCTATTAAAATTCTATTAATTATCCAAATCTTTCATAATGCATCAAAATATTAGCCATTTTTACGTTATTGTTAATAATTTTGTAACTATTTTCTTAGTTAAAATATTAAAATTTTGAAATATAGACCTTCATGAGACTCTTCCAAGTCAGTATCATGTTGCCAAATCAATATTACTAACAAAATTACTAACTGGAAGTTAACATTTGGATAATTCTTAATATTTCGATTGATTTGGATAATATAAAAGAATCTGAAAAAGATTTGGATAAAAAATAGACATTACCCTTTTTTTTTTTTAGTATACTCACTATTATTGATAGGTTACAAATTAATTCACATATTTTTCATATGTGAAGAAATATTTTTGGTGGGGCGGGTATGGGTATGGATATGGGGCGGGGAGGCTAAAACCATACCCGCCCCATACCCATCAAACTTTTTGCGGGTTTTACCCATACCCGGTCAATGCGGGGATTCCCCGTGTTGATTGGGTCGGGGGCGGTAGGATACCCGTGGGCGTGGGTTTGATTGCCATCCCTACAAGACGTCAGTTCCAAGAGAAAGAGCAGGCGGTTAACATAGCAACTATCGATTATCCCACGTGCAAGGATACGACAGCCAGGTTCGAGGAAGAAGGAGGCAGTTCTTTTGGAAGTTACTCTCTATGTGGATTTTCTACGACAGTTACCATCTCAAGGCTATAAATAGGAGGAGGAGTTGGCAGAGAAGGGGTTCGCCAAATTCACACCAGACAACCCATTGTCAAATTTTATCTTTTTATCATTCCTTTGCAACTTTTAGCCGTAATCGTAGATCTGGAGCTCTCACTGAACTTCCATAGGAATAGGGTAATTTAAAGTAGATTTCTGTCTCGTGAGTCGTGTAAACATCGATCACCCTCGTTCGAACTTTGTTTGAAGAGGTGTGAACCGTGTCTTAGTAATCGTTGTCCAAAGAAGTCAAGGTGCAATCAATTCAATTTTAACACAAATTTTCTCGCTGGAAAACAGAAACTGAGATTGGTGGTTCCGTCGTCGTGTCGATTAGAATCGCCGAAAAGCTTCGCAAATCACCCTCCATCTCCTCCGAGTTCAGTATTTTCAGGGTTCCAGGGCAACTACGCAGTGTGAACGAGCAGGCGTACGAACCACAGATGCTTGCAATTGGGCCTTACTATCATGGCAAAGCTGACCTGCAACACATGGAGAGGCACAAAATACACTACCTGCGACTACTGCTTCACAGGACAAAGGATGCAGATGATCATCATGACGATGAAGTCAACAGATACGTCTCAGCCATGAAGGCACTGGAAGAAAGAGCTCGCAAATGCTATGCCGAACCCATATCTCGACTCTGACGAATTCGTTGAAATGATACTTCTCGATGGCTGTTTCCTTGTTGAGCTGATTAGCAAGTGTTGCGCAATGGAGGGTTTGGCGGAAGATCACGACCCTTTTGCTGTTCCATCCAACTTTGTCGCCGTAGTTCGTTATGCTGCTGGAGAATCAGGTCCCGTTGTTCGTCCTGTTGAACTTGTTTCAGCTAACAAAGCAGCCGAATGAATCGAGGGATTTCGTATCCATGGTGGGCGATTTTGTTAGCAAGAAAGGGCTGGGGCTTGGCTCCATTGAAATTGACAGTGAGGGTTGTTATGGAATGATGCACATATTAAGCTTGGTACATGGGCACTGGGCTCCTCCCAACTGGAGAAAGATACCACAGCAAGACAAAAGGCTCAAAGCAGGATGCAAGCGCATAGTTTGTGCCACAAAGCTGAGACAAGCCGGAGTCAAGTTAAGAAGCGCTGTGGAGGGTGGAGGACGGCAAACCTTTTTGAATGTCCAGTTCAAAGATGGGACCTTGTTCATCCCGACAATGGAGGCCGAAGATAGCATGGAGTCGTTGTTGCGGAATTTGATAGCCTACGAGCAATTGCGACCCAGGAACCAGCCGAGCTACGTCACTTACTACATGACTCTGATGGACTGCTTGATTGATACCAGAGCGGATGTGGAGCTGCTTTGTCAGTGTGGGATCATCAGCAATCATCTAGGTGAGGACGAAACGGTCGCCACTCTGTTCAAAAGATTGGGGAACCAAGTTGTCGTTCATCATGGCTACTTCACTTATTCTGATGTGTTTGAGAAAGTGAACAAACACTGTGGCAAGAAGTGGTATAGATGGGTGGCAAAGCTGAGACACGACTATTTCACCAGCCCGTGGGCGCTTCTCTCGCTTTTAGCTGCGTTTCTTCTACTTCCTCTAACATTCATTCAGACTTTGTACTCTGGTTTGTCTTACTACAAGTGAAATACAGAGAAATGTCGCCTGTAGATTCAAACAAACAAAAAACCGTACTTATGAATCAAATAGTGTTTGGGTCAAAATGAACGAGATTGAAGGGACGCCACATTCCTAAAACTCTTTTATCATTCCCCCATCAGCAGAATACTCTCTGCTTTTTAGCTAGTATAGCCAGTTAGTTGGGCAGTCGACCAGTGGTTCATGGCCAACCCACTCAAAAATACATGATAAAAATGGATACAGTAGCAACTCTTTATGTTTTCTATTGGAACTAACATTACTTGTTGATCAAGAAAGTAGGTTTCACACTTTACAGCTAGATGCATCCTCACATACCTCAATCAACACTGCAATTGTGAAAGAGAAGGTCAGGGGTTCTGATTTCAACAGGGAAAGTCACATAGTGTCGATCATCATCATCCCAGTCAGCAGTCATATATCCTTATCAACCCAGGGATATATAAACTCTGCTTCTTTAGAAACACGCTTATACCTCAATGCCTCCATCGAAAATTTCATAACCTTTTTAGAGCTCAAATTATATGCAGCTGTGATGTAAACGCGTTGAAGTAGAGGGGCATTGCCTAGGACGAACCTCACAAGGTCCAGCTCAACCTGTGTACCACAGCTATCCTCAATTATGAACTCCCTAAGATGTTGAAGGCAATTAGAAGGTCCAGTGCAGTCCTCTGCTTCCAACAACCTCCCTATGCTGCTAACTTCAGTCTTTGTGGACTTATTCTCTAGGTCTAGCATGTTAGGATCCAGCTACGAACAATTGTGAAGGAACCTGAGTTAGATTACAAAAATCTATACACCTCACAGATCCTGCAAACAAAAAGCTCAGTTGGCAAACACAACGAACCTCAATTTTGAGCCTACGCAGGTTTGGAGAACTCATGATCAAACAAACAAAAACATGCTCCTGCTCCAGGCTATCAAAGTCAAGCTCAATAATTTTGAGTACTTCTAACTGCTGAAGAGGAGAAGGAAGCCTGGTGGGGACATTTCTATTACCTGCAGAAAGGTGCTGAGAAAACCAGGCACAATGCACAACATGAATGCGTAAAGATACCCAGAAGGAGTTTTCACAAGAATCGAAATTGGTAGTGAAAAGGTGACTTACTTTCAGGAATCCACCATTAGTCCATAACACTTGGATTGTAGGAATAGAAACGAAAAGAGCTACCATGTCATGCGTGCTGGTCTCATACAAAAAGAGTGCGACAAATGATAAAAGGGGAGTACCCTTGAAGCTTATTCCCTTGAGGGGCCCCGCAAAGTGGAAGGATTTGAGAGATGGAGACACAATTTGAAGCTTATCAGGAGGACCGTCACAATCGATAACCCTCAAATATTCAAGCAGTGGGCACTTGGCAAGGAAATTCTCGAAGAAATCATAGGGCAAAGGAGATTCTTCTAGTCCAAGATGGGTAAGCTTACTAAAGCCTTCAAACCAAGATGGTGGTGTGAATTCACAACCCTGAAGTTCCAGGGATATCAAGTGAAGTGCAGAAAACAGAGAAGAATGCATCTCATAAACATACTCGTGGTCGAGACTGTGGAACCAGATCGCAAAGTCTTGGACACCTTTATTGGATAGGTAAAGAACGATGAGGTCCATCTCATCATCACAGGACACTAATCCAGGGATAGAAAACTTAAACTTGGTTATTGGCCCATCATGAAGAAGGAGGGCCTTGTAGATGTTCAGCATTGTAAGCTTACTCCTCACCAACTTTCGTTCAGATTCAGCCTCTCTATCTATTTGAGCAAAACGCTTATCAAAAACAAGTTGAGGATGCTTCTCCACAAATGCCTCCATTTGCTTGTCAAGATACTAGTTTTGGCGGCATCTTTGATGGGCAAGGACACAAGAATGCGATGTATCACATCGGCAGGAAGGTTGGTGATTCTATCAGCATCGTACTGAGCCACCCTCTTCATCCTGCATACACAGATAGATTGTTATCAGCTAATAACTACCGATTCGGATAACCATGCACGAATATAGAAATCGCAGAACAACGCGGGAAATCAATTCGGTTCAAGGGAAATCTCATAGAACTATAACTTGGGAGAAAGCATTTGATTACGTTGTTGAGTGTGCGCTACTTAGACTAATACCTGAAAGGCTGAAAGGACCCAAACCGAAATCGACTCTGCTAGAGTAGCAAAAATGACGCAAAATTGCAGAAGAGGCAGCGAGGGAGAGAGAGAGATAGAGAGAGGGCGAGCGGGCGACGTACAGATTCTCAGTCCCCGCAGATACTGCAATGGTACGAAGAGCGAGAGGGACAGATATCGTGGGTAGTTTGACTGGTTCAGTGAGCTAGGGTTTGGGAGTGGTGAGCGTCAGTGAAGGGAGAAGGGGAAGGGGATTGGCGCTAAGGCATTTGATTTGGCGCTGAAAAGAAAGAGGCTAAGGCCTTGTTTACTTTCATTTCTGTTGCCTGTTTTTGAGAAAACAGATGCTGAAAACAGGTGAAAACGACATTTTTTCGTTTTCGAAAACAGTAGGAAGCTGCCACTTTTTGTTTCCAGAGTTGGAAACGAATAGAAAACAGAATGAAAAGTAAACATGTTTTCTCGTTTCGTTTGCCAAATTTGTAACATGAAAACAGAAAACAGGAAACGAAAATGGAAGTGAACAGGGCCTAAGGGGTCGTGTGTAGGGGTGAACAAACACACCCGCAAACCGACCCACCCGTCCAAACCGACCCAACCCACCCGTATTTACCGTTAAAACGAATGTTTTGGGTTGGGTGAGGGTTTTCTTTTGTACAACCCGCCTCTTTTGGGTTGGGTTTGGATTTTGGATTACACAACCCGACCCAACCCGTGTTCCAACTATTAGTATGAATTCGAATCTAAAAAATATTTATGTAGTATATAGTCATATACTTATGAGAAAATTAAGATATTTCGCCATGTTTTTCTCTCATTGTCTCTCTAATCTAATGCATTCTTCGACTTAAAGTTTAGACATAAATTGAATATAGTTATGATTCACGTAATCCTTTTTCTTGTGTACAATTTTAATAGAATAACATATGATGGATGCGTTTGTTTATAACATTTTTAGCCTATTTCAACAAATATCGTGAAAAAACAAGACATATGTTGAAGTAAATTACATTTTATTAAAATTTAAGCAACATTTATGAATTTTCATACGGGTTAAAGACACATTTGGTCACTGAGATTACAAAATCGGGACATGTTTAGTCACTAGAAAAAGTTAATATCAAATTTGGTCACTACAATTACTAAAACTGGACACATTTAGTCACTCGCCGTTAGTCTCCGTCCAACTCCGTTAATGAAGTCCGTTAAGTGCTGATGTGGCAAACAGAATTGCCTAATCAGCCGGATATAACCCAACAAAAATAAAACCCGACCCGCCACGTCATTAAAACAAACCCAACCCTACCCAACCCATGACCCAACCCCACCCAACCCTTCTTCCTCCTTCCTCCTACCTCCTTCTTTCCCCAAAACCACCGCCGCCGCCGCTCTCCTCCTTCCCCCAAATCCCAACCCACCCAGAAAACCAAAAAATACCCTTCTCCAACCAAGCTCGTCCCTCTCTCTTTCTCCACTCTCTCCACAGTCTACCAAGTCACAACCACCAATTCCCTCCTTCTTCCACAACTTCAATTCGGCCTGCAAGAAAACAGAGTGACTAATGGAAGGGGTTCAATTCGGCCTGCAACAGCCGTTCTCAGCCCGCAGGACTGCCTCCGCGACCCCTTCTCCACCCGCGGCGGCCTCCTCTCCACCCCGCCGCGCAACAAAATCCGCCGCAACCCTAACCCTAGCCCCGCCACCGCCCCCAGCTCTACCAAGCACGGCCGCGGTCAATCCAACAGCCGCAGGAAGCGGAGCCCCAACTCATCCCCCCCTCCCCGTCCCACTGCGGACTCGTCGTCCCTATCTCCAGCCGAGGTCCTTTCCATGGGACAGGTTAAGATCCTCAAGCGAGGCGAGCCGATCCAGATGAAGAAGAAAGAGGATGATTTCCCCAAGCTGACGCTGAAAAGGGGTTCTTTCTGCATCCCTCGCCGGTGTTGACGCAGAGAGAATCCGAGCCTCATCTCCTGACTCTGTTCCCTCTGACGTCGCGGAGGGCAGAGGAATCACAGCCCTGAAATTTTTCTTTACATCTGTGAGGGTGGGCTGACATGGCGGTGGACGGCGAGGGTGGTCATGGAGTGGGGATTGGATGACAGAGGAAGGAGAAGGGTTTTCGGGTATGCAAATGGAAACTGATCAGTTTTGTTTTTTTAAGTGGGTTAAGGTTTATTTCTGGGTCGGGTTGGGTTAATGGTTTGGGTTGGCTGTCTGATGTGGCGGGTTTAGTGACGTGGCGGGTCGGGTTTGACCATTTCCGGCCCAAAACGACGCTGACTAGGCGCTCACGTTAGCCACGTCAGCACATAACGGATTCTGTTAACGGAGTTGAACGGCAACTAACGGCGAGTGACTAAATGTGTCCAGCTTTAGTAATTATAGTGACCAAATTTGATATTAACTTTTTCTAGTGACTAAACATGTCCCGATTTAGTAATCCCAGTGACCAAATGTGTCTTTAACCCATTTTCATACCTTTCACCTTGGTTCATTCGTTTGAAATTTTAATTAGTCATAAAATATTTTTATGATGTAGAATAATTATATATTTTATGTTGGGTTGGGTAAAAACTTAAAAATATCGCCAACCCGACCCAACCCAATTAGAAACAAACCGTAGGGTTTAAATTTTTTTGGGTGGGTTTGGGTTTGATATTTCCCAAACCGTAGTGCATGGGTCGGGTGATTAAAATGACTAAACCCGAACCACCCGACCCATGTACACCCCTAGTCGTGTGGTAGTTGCTGTTGTTTTGTTGAGATTGTTATTATACATGTATTGTTGAGAATGTATCGTTTTTTTGTTTTTTTACCAAAAACAATGCATGGATTGTTTCTGTGATGTGACAGAAACTATCACTCAAAATGAGTGATTGTTATATCTCAACTTTTCGTTGTGATTGTTGAGATAGTTGGGTTGAAATTGTTTTGTCTCCGCTTTTAGCTTATGTGACATAAACAATCGGACATACCAAACGTTGTATTCTACAATGCATCAAATTCGACAATACATGTATAATATTATACATGCATTCACAACAATACATCCATTTAACAATCGCAGCTTCCAAACGACCCCTAAGAATATTTCCAGAAATACCCTCAAGTTAAAAATATGGCAAAATACATGTGTATAGCCAAAACATTGGCGTTTGTGACAATAATAACCAATTTTTGAGTAATACACAAAATGTCCAATTCCGTCCAATACTTTAACGGTGTTAATTAACAATCTGACTAGACTAACTGAAGGCTGACGTGGCAAGTCTCTTTAATTATTGATAATCCACGTGGTCTTTTGATTTGTAAATAATAAAACAAAGTAAATAACTAATAAATAAAAAGAGCAAAGCATATGCGTTGGTTTTTGATTTGCAGATTTGGAAAAGTCAAGAACATCAATCACTCTTGCTCAGCGCATACCTAACACCAACCGATCCATAAATCCATAGCCTCCATATCGACCGCCGCCCTTCCGTCCTCCTATGCAGCCTCACTGCTGCCGAAATATAGTTATGCTCCTTACCGCATAAGTTGTGAGTATATACTCACATGGCCGATTGGAGATCCACGAGGGCAAGCCACGATCTGAGGGTGTGAAGATGATTGGCGCCGACATGTGAGAGTCGAGACTACTTTAGCGGCTCGGTTGGCCCAAATCTGTCAAGAAAACCTGGCCCATCCAAATTCAAACACCAAAAAATTAAAAAAAAACTCACCTTTTATTTAGTTTTATCTTCTCTCTCTATAATTATTCATTACGTTGGTTTTATTTCTCTCCCCTCTCCAAATGATTTCCCTTTCCTCTCCTGATAATGCACATAAAAATCTCCTCGCCGAGGGTTGCGATGAAGATGACGGCGGCGACAAGGACTGCAAGAAAAAAGGCGATGGCGCGAGGAAGAAGACGACGACGCAAGGAGAAGACGCCGGTGCTTGAAGGAAGAAAGCGCTGGCCGAGCGGGAGGAAGACGACGACGACGGCGACGGCAAGGAGAAGAAGGTTGTTGAGGTAGATGTCTTCCTTTCTCTTGATTCATTGATTCGATTGTATGGTTTTATGGATTCGAGATCTGGGATTCTGTGGGGTTGGGATATGTGATTCGATTCGGGGAATATGGGATTCTGTGCGTTTGGGATCTGAGATTCGATTTGGGAGATCTAGGATTCGTTTGGGGGATTTGGGATTTTGTGCGGTTGGGATCTGGGATTTGATTTGTAGAGCTGGAATATTAGTTCGTTTAATATGGATAATTGTTAGCTTGCTTTGGATACTACTTTTTATACTGTGGATATTATTCTATTGATTGTTCGGATATTAGTTATGTGATGTCTGTATATTTGTTTACTCTTTCTTGATATTTCTCTACCCTATGTGGATGTTAGTTTGCTTATATTAGTTCTGTGCGATTGAGATATCTGTTATATCATGTCTAGATATTTATTCGTTTGTATATGGATAGTACTTCTTTGATGTTAGTTCTGTGTTGTCCAGATATTGAAAATATTATGCCTGATATTAGGTATGCCATTGGTGGATATTTTTTTTGGTTTGTTTGGATATTACTATTGATGTATGGATTATAGTTATTCTATATTAGTTCTGTGTGGTCGGGATATCAGTTGATTTATACCTGGATATTTACCTATGCTTCAGGGATATTGGACAAAGGCAAGAACTAAAACAACAGCAAAGAGACCACGAATAGGAGAAGGACCATTCCAACCTTGTCGTGACATGATCGAAACGTGGGGGCTCGGAGGGACATGATCAAAAAGATTATAGGGAGTTTGTCGAAAAACAACTTTGTCGGATTTTAGATTATGGGATTGCCGAGTTGGAATGACATTAATACTAGTTGTATCGCGGTTTGTCGAAAACAACTTTATTTTATATGATTTTGTTTAAACTCAATATCAAAACAAACAAACATAGATAAACATCCACACAAAACAAATATTCAAACCACCCACACTAATCTCGGTTCACCATAACAAATATCCACATCACCTAGACTAATATTCCACCATCTAATACCAATATCTAGTCGGTCCATATTTAATATCCTCACCATCACAGACTAATACCCACTAGACACAAACTAATATATGACCATCGCGAACTAATACTCACTACACAGAAAAATACCCACACATCGCAAACTAACATCCTCCCATCACATAATAATATCCTATCACCACAGACAGATATCGAATCACCCTACATTGTGTTCATATCCATTTCCACAACATCATCTTCTAAACCCTAAACCAAAACAACCCTCACTCTAAACCCTAAACCGTAAAAATATCCACACCATCCAAACTAATATCCCACCGTCTCAAACTAATATCCAGTCATTAAAAAATGTAATATGTCGCCATCACAGTCAAATATCCACAATACACAGACTGATTCTCGACCGTCGCAGACTAATATTCGACTACACAGACAAAATATCGAACCACCATACATTGTGTTCTAAACCACCGACCACCAACCCTAAACTCTAAACCCTAAGTAGGTCAAGTGAATGTAGTTATAATTAGTTGGGAGGTTTTGAAATTATTTTGGTGAAAAATAAACATTAGCTTTGTGATGTAAAAGGAGGATGGACTCTTTTGGGCAAACACGAATATTATTAATAAGAAGGTCTAATAGGAACAATCACGCAAACTAATATTAGGTTGCATAACAGGCAAAACTAATATTCTTCTTTTATCGAACAAATACCCATTCACCCGAAAACAAATATATGTCCTTTATCGAACAAAATCGATGGCGCCCAGACTAACATTCATCCACCCCATAAATAATATCCATACTTATGCGAACAAATATCATTGACACCCTCACTAATATCCTACCATGACAAAAAAACTTCATTTCCGTATGGTTTCCTCGGTGTTATCTTAAACCTCCGACTCTGAAGACATGGAATTTGTTTGAGAAGAGAAGAACAATATGGTGGGTAAGTTGGGAAACCAGTTTGTTAGGGTGGATGCTTAAATAAACAAAGATGACATTTGAATAGTTAGTACAAAGTTCACATGGAAATAGTGAGCATAAGGTTCACATGTGAATAGTTACAAACTAATATCCATCGCATATAATATAAGTTCATAAAACAACATGCACACCACCCATACAAACACTCATTCACCCCAAAACAAATATCTGTACTTTATCGAACAATATCCGTGGCTCCCAAACTAACATCCATCCACAATAGAAATAATATCCACCCTTAAACGAACAAATATCCTTGGCAACCTGACTAATATCCAACCACATAAACTAATATCTGAAATCACAAACGAACTAATATCAGGGTCTGGAAGACAAACACTCCTACTATTATTGATTCATTGGCCTTCGGCCAATGGGCCCTCGGCGGGTAGCCCTTACTAAGGTTGCAAGGCTTATGTGTTAGGACTTGATAGTGTGTTTAGCTTTGATGGAAGACACACTTAATTCACAAACTAATATCCATCGCATATAATATCAGTTCATGCAAAAATAAATATTCATACCGCCCAGACTAATATCCGACCACATAAACTAATTTCCTTCGGTCCATGGATAATATTTTGGTTAATGATGGATATTAGATTGGACGATATGAATATTAATCCGGGTTGATTTCTCTCTTCCATGTGAGAATAGTTGGTGGGTGGCATTAAATGCTCAACATCTCTCTCATGTAAAAATTCATCAAAATCAACAAAAGTAGTGATAGACCGTTAATTACACATGTTTTTACCCCTGTTCTTACACCGTTTGAGGTGTTGATTCTCGTGTTTTAGGCCGATTTTACGCTAGCTTGTGCTTGTTTGTGATATTTCAGGTCCTAGTACGTGACTGGAGGCTTGGGAGCGAGTTTGGGGTCGAGTGGACGAAGATCGGACGCGTGGCGAGGTGCCAAGGAAGCCGCACGGGGAGTCCGGGACATCACACGGCCGTGCAACTTACAATTGTGGCCGTGTGATTTTCGCCGAGAGCAAACACGGGCAGAGCAGGAAATCCACACGGCCGTGCAACCCTGGCCGTGCGGGAAGCCTGAGTTTCGACTTAATTGATACGGCGCGTTTTGACTCACACGGGCAACTGGGTGAGCCACACGGTCGTGTGGCCTGCCCGTGTGAGTCGAGAAATCTTGGTTTTTCAGCCAATTTCGAGCCAAAAGTGGGAGAATCGGATTTTGAGAGCAAAAACAGAGCCCTAGAGAGAGAAAGTGCGAAGAACACACCCTAGAAGCTATCTTGGAGCTGGGTTTCGTCAAATCGAGCTTGGAGATCGTCATAGGAGTGGAAATCATCATCCCATAGCAGATTTTCCTCATCTTTATGAGTATGACTACTCTGATTACTGTTTTCTTCTCTCTCTCTATGGAGTAGAACCCTTCTCTCACTCGGGTATGAAGAACCCTAGTTTCTTGTTTTAGGGATTTGATTGTAATGACTTGGGATGATTATACTGTTTGGTTTTAATCGAATGATGCATGTTTATTGAATTGATTGAAGTCTGATAAGCTTTTCTCGATTTCTGCTGCAACCTGAGATAGATAGAATCTGATTAGGTTGTTAGAGCCTCTTCATTCGATAGTAGGAGATTGGTTATACGAGAGTTAGCCAGTTTACTGCTTTGTACTGGAATTCAATTCCATTAGTGGAGTTCTGTGCTTATTGCTTCAGCTTTCTATCCCGGTGAAGACTAGTCGTCTGCCGGGTAGTTAGACTGAGAGGGTTTGGTCAGCTTAAGAGATTCCAAGCTACTGTCGGATCTTCCGCAGTCTAATCAACAGGGAATCAACCCAGGGTAATTACAATTGAACCTAACTAAGGAGCTAGGGGGACTCATTCCCGAGTGACTCTTACCTGCTTTTGAAAACCGAACCATTTCCTGCTTTCTTACTGCTTTTGCTTTAAACAACAATCAATCGAATTAGTTGGCTAGATAATAAATTATCACGGAGTAAGCAGTAGATCTAGACCCCGGGTTGATAATAGAACTTGCCTGTTACTGCATTCCCGGACTGCGATTACACTTGGTCGCAGTTTGGTGTTGTGTTTTGGTGTGTCAAGTTTTTGGCGCCGTTGCCGGGGAACTCTAGGTTATTGGGGAAACGTGAAAGTCTGTTACTTTAGCTTTTTTCTTTTCTTTTCCACCCTTGCTTTTCACTTGGGTGTTATGTGTTTGTTGGTGCAGCTTTGAAACATGGATCCTCATGGCTTCTCCAACCATTGGGGGTATCAACCACCATCCGTGTGGTATTACCCCGAGACTTCCTGGAGCAATCAAGGAGGAGAAGACTATGGATTCGGATGTCAGTACCAACCCCCCTACTACGGAGAACAACCAAACCCTTGGGAACCTCAAGAACAATGTCCTTTTCAAGAAGAGTTCCTGCCACAACCAGAGGGGCCATCTGAGTTGGAGTTAGCCATGGAGACCTTCGCGGGCCACTCTGCAGAGCCATGCTACACTTCACTGGAAGATCCGAACAATCAATTAAGGCTTCTCGTGGAGCAGTTTGCTCGAGACACGAAGAGAGCATGCTCCAAGATGGATCTTCAAATCCAAGCCCTTGCCTCTTCCGATCCCTCATTTCTCCATGAAATGGAGCAGACTGTTCAGTGCTCGGCGAAGCAAACAGAGTGGGTGAAGCAAATTTGCTCACATCCTGCTCAAGATCACCTTTCTGCTACTACGCTAGAAGAGGTGGAGGATGACAAGGGCAGCGGGGGCGTTGAGGAGCCTACAGAAGTTATCACAGAGAACTCCCATGATAATCATGATTAGGAAAGTCCTCTGGTGGCAGATCACACCGTTCCTCATTTATGCTCTAACATGCTGGGCCTGTGCGAGGAGATGTAAGATGAACCCATTGAAGAAATTGCTTGGCGACTTGCTCTCCAATCTGTTCTAGAAGAAGAAGAGTGAGCAAGGATGAGGAAGGAAGTTGTGGAGGATGAGGAAGAAAGTAAATAAGAGGTAGTTCTTGATCTTTTCCAAGGGGAGAGACCACATTTTGAAGAAGGAAGGGGGGTTGTGGAGGCAATTGGCGTCCAGGTTGAGGATGAAGTTGAGGTGGAAGAGGCTTGCACCAGGCCTATGTTACATTTGATATCTTCACCAAACTTCGAGGAGCTGCTTGGAAAAGACCCATTTGCAGTGTCTTTTTGCCAGACTAAGACCACATCAACATTAATCCCTCTTGGTGGATGCGATGGTGGTCAATCGAATATATCTTATCTAGTTTGGGGCAGTGAGACAAGAGCAGACGCGAAGGAGAGGTCTCGTGAGTGGAGACTTCATCTTCCTCAAGGCCCCGAGCCATCTTCATCACCTATCACATCAAATGCTCGTGACTTGAGACTCCACCTCATTAATGAGAACCTCAACTTCAAGGAGGTTCTGGGATGGACCGAAACTTAGGAGCCACCGTCCGGCTCACGACGGTAAAGAAGCGCTTGTGAGGAGGCAACCCCACCAAGGTTTGTTTTTCTTTCGTTTGTTTTTTTCGGTTTGTCCACTTGAAACTATGGTTTCTATCACCCAGTGTGTTTTGCTGCAGTGTTTCCATCCGGTAACATCGTTCCCCTTATCCCTCCCTCTCCTCCATTGAGGGCAATGTCGTGCTTAAGTGTTGGGGGGTGCTTTGTATCGGTTGGAATATATATCTGTGTGCTTGGAGCCTAGTCCGCTGTCCGAATTGTACGATTTGAGGGCTCCAAGTACTGCTGTTTGATCATATTGCCACTGTGTTTTGATTGATGAATTGAATGGTTTTCGGATTGATGCATGACAGCTTGATTGTGACTAGGACAACCTATGATGAGGA